AAAAAAGCGCACTTTTTCATTTTATAATGCCGTCTTATTGCTCTTCTTCCTAGTAGGTGCATTTTAAATGCGTTTTCCCGATGAATCCTGGACTCCTCCTCAAAATGATAAATTAATATAAGGACAGCTACAAAAAAACAACAACAACAACAACAATACATCGTAATAATTTGAATCCCTGTTTCGGAACAAAGCAATCAATCTACAGGTGTGAAAGCACCCCGAGTCAATGCGGACCACAAAACGAATCCAACCCATCAAACATCAAGCATTGCAAAAGGGATAGATAAATATAAGCGCTGCACGTTTCAAGTCAAAATGCAGCTCGCATGTCTTTATTTAAATATATCTGAAGGGAACCAACTGTCCTCAGAAACGTGTCGTTGGCATTTTAATTTCATCTTATATATATATAAGCCAAAATAACTTTATTTTTTATTTAATTGGTGCTTTTAATTTCAACTAAGACTTTATATTTACATTTTGGATTACTTATTGTTATATGTTGATTTTATTTTTTTCAAACGTTGCATAGTTGCAAAGTCATCGACGTCAACTCAGCACGTGAAGGAATGATGAGAATGCAAGCCGCAGCCTAGAGCCTACTGAAGGCACAATACATCATGAACCAGCCGGCGCCGACTAACGTTACAGTTCTTATTATTACGGTTTGTAAATTGGCGGGCCAGGAGTCTTTTCCGGTTAAAGCTCGTTAGTTCAGATCAGTAATGTCACCACATGCACCCATACATCCTCATATCTCTTTATATATGAAAAACATCGAAGCAAGAACTATTTACTCGTAAAGAAATACAGTTCCCCATTATAATATCTTATCCTAATTTCTACTTGAGTGAAGAACGTGTTTTGCCCCGGTATTATCATGTTGTAGTATGGAGTACGCTACTATAATGAGAGATCAACATCTCACTGTGATACGCAAACATTTTTAGCTTCAGTGAACAGTTGCTCGCATCTGGAGCCGAGCAGGGACGCAGTTATCCAGATCATAAGCACACGGCGCTGTTAAACAGGCCTGTTAGAGGTCACCTTACCTCCGATGTGCTGCTTGGAACTCCGGCTGCTGTGCGTTTCTGTCGGATCCACAACACAAAGACGAAGCTTTTTCACAGACAGCGGTCTGCTAAAAATGCTATGTCCTAACCGGATCGAAGCCAGATGCTTTATGTGCCTACATCAAGACAAACACCCTGATCATAATTTCAGTATTTAAAGAAAAGTCAAGCGCATATTACACACTGATCACTGCTATAGCAGTATGCAGCTAAATATATATGTATGAGCAAATCTGTCATGCTATAACGCAGCTAGCTAGTTAGCTCTCGTTCCCCTTATACAAACAACAACACTTTCCTGCAATCGGAACAGATCGATATTCATGTATCAAAGAAGATCGACCATGCACTAAAAACATTTAGACTATGTAAGCAACGGTGAAGTGACTTATTCAGGCCTTTAGACACCGCGTGAGCTACGGAAGCCTAATTTAAGAAGTTGCTTCGATCAGGAAAGCTAACTGCATGCTAGCAGCTCGACGATAAAACCGGTAGAAGAGAAACCAACGTCAATCGTGTCACCAAAGGGGGCGGGAACAGGCTTCTTCCGCCCGGCCCGCACGCAGGATGAATAAATAAAAGGAAATAATGCTAATAAAAACATTCTCGTCTATATCGATGACATACAGTGCGATCAATATCCTTCTGTTTCATACATTGTCTGCCAAATCTAATTTCAAATCTAATATATTTAGGCCTACAAATATAATTATAACATTGACATTCAGTAGTGTCATTTTTGGCTTGCTGGGGTTCACGGACAAATGGTAAATAATAATAATAACTGCTACATAAGAACATTATTACTGTAATGTTTTATGTAAAGTTGCTTCAAAACAATGTCCAAAAAACGTGCTGAGCTATGCAAATAAAGTGTAAGTGTTCAACCTAAATGCCACGAAAATACATTTAAAATGTGAAAGAACTATGTTGTGTGATCGACTGTACAAATAAGAAAAACAATAAATCAAAGCTATATTTTAAAAGCTAAACAGAAGCAAATGGATGGCTGCAAATTTTAGAAACAACTATAATCATCGAAACGTGGACCTAAAGAATAAGCTCTAATGGTTATTAAGCAGGCTACTAGTAGCATTACAAAAGATACTAGTACGTTTTAAGGATTAAATGTAACGGCTTGCAATAAATAACTAGTATCTAATTAATGAGTATCAGTATCTAATAAATAATAACTAGTATCTAATAAATAAGTAGGCTATTTTATTTTAAAAAGGTGGCACTAGTACAAGCACTAGTAGCCAATATAGTACCTAATAGAATAGATACTAGTAGCTAAAAAATCAGTACTACTAGCATGAACATAGATAGTGGTACGTTTTAAAGGGGGCATAACACACAGTTTCACCCAATCTCATGTTAATCTTGAGTACCTATAGAGTAGTACTGCATCCTTCATATCTCCAAAAAGTCTTTAGTTATATAACTTATATCATATTTATAAAAGAAAGATACAGCTTTACGATTCCCAGAAGTAAGATTTTTGGCACAGAAATACTCCGTGTGACGACTCCGGGCTGGACTCCGCTTCCGGGCTGGACTCCGGTGATCCGGTGATCCACAGCGCAAAGTTGTTGTATTTCCTCAGCAACCAGCACGGATCAGCTACAGGGTTGACGAAGCAGATATCGTCCTCTTTTGGAAGACCAAACAAAGTAGTTTCGCTTTCACAACGAAACACACAGCGCCTTCACAACATGGCGGCGGCAACAACAACAATACTACAGCGAGAATAAAAGTTACACCTTCTTTCTTTGCATGAACATTTGGGCGGCGTTATGCAAATCTTCCCACATAGTGACGTAGATATGTGGGGGCATGTTAGAACGAGCCGTTTTAGGTAGGCGTGGCTGACTCTTAACTTTTATAAAGAATATCTCTTTGGATTTGAGACTTTAGTCTTTGCAACTTTACAGATCTTCTTTATGCACCAAGAGCTTGTAACACTCCAAAGAGAAAGGAAAAATTGAAATCGCATCATATGACCCCTTTAAGGATTAAATGTTAGAATGGTTTGCCCAAGGATGTTATGCTTATATATTTGTGCATTGAGTGGCGCTGTACCACTACTTACAGTTTTTCTCAGTCACTTTGGTACATGATCCTTAACATATGCAAACCATTGCATTTCTCAAAACAATGCAAACAGAACCACACAATGATTACCTGCAAAAGTCTGTAATCTTCTCAAAATCTTTAGTTTAACTCTCAAATGTAAGTATTTATATGTATGCGTTTGTAGTACTTATATGTAAGTATTTATGTATGCGTTTCAGTATGTAACAAAGTATATTTACTGTATAATATAATATACAAGTGGACTACTGTAATATGAATCATTACAGTAAGTATACATTATTACAGTACAGTGCACATTGTTGATATATTGTTTTGGATATGGATATTGATATTGCTATTTACCTGTTTCAATGTTATTTTATTTTGCTTGCTTTTAAGTAGATGCCATATTTACTTGTATATGAAAATGCTATATAATTAGAAAGTACCTAAAATGCTTTAAATAATATTGATGTAGAGCTTAGATAAATGTGCATGACTACCTTTGTTTATACTGTAGCACAGGATAAAATGAGCAAAAAGGTGTGAAAAGTAAATTCATGAGCTTAATGTTTGCAACTAACGACAAAGGTTACTGAGAGGGTACACGGGGTGAAGAGAAGGTTTAAAACCACAAGTGGGGGTAAAACAGACAAGACTACAGTAAAGAAGGAGAAGAGTGGTAAAAGAAGATGGCAGCGTAGGAGAAGACGGAAGGACATCCGGCAATTAGACACGAGTCACATAGACTGATATTGAATTGGAATTTCCCAAAAATTAGTATAAAAGTTCTGAGGGGTAAACCACTCTTCAGATGCCACCTGCATTAAGCTTGAAGAGCACTTATACCCAATTGAGGGGCACTTAACAGTATCTCCAATATTGCTGTTTAGGGTGTGATTATGGAACTTGTAGTATGGCTGATTTTTTTGTTTTATTTTTGCATTAACTGCTTTGTATTGTAACCAATAAAATTTTTATAGTTACGGTTGCCTCCCGTGAGACTTTACTTATAACTACAAACTGAGCCTCAAACAAGAACAACCACAAGGGAGTCTTCTACGTCATTCCTGAAGAACTTCTGCGGGTTGGTGAGTACTTCATGGTTTAGGCAAGATTTTAATATCCTTACCCTACCTGAATAATCATAGGGTTAAAAGTGTAAGATACAAGGACACACCAAGTAACAATATACCTGCACTGACTGAGTATACGGTTGTTCTCTCAACATTCAGCTGTACCTTTCAACCCACCATGGCCATTATAAGGTCATGACTGGGAGCAGTCCCAATAGTGGCCCTTATTTAATTGGAAACATGCCTACTTCCTTGGCCTCTTCTTCCTCTGTTGTGCCTCTCTACCTTTCCACCATGCATCCTTATTACACATCTTCTTCTTTGCTGTAGATCCTGTTTGTTTCCTTATTGTTCTTCGATTGTCAGAAATTGTAACTCTAAAGGCTGAAATACACCACAACTTTTAAAATCTGAACAGATTTTAAAACACTAGGCAACATACTGTACGCTTGCTGACTTTGTAAAAAAAAGATTACAGAGGGAAAACTGGGAATCATACACTAAACAACTGGATCATCATCACACACTACCAGAATTTCAAGTCATTCTGAACAGAGCAAACTCACATACGCCTCATTTTCAGGAGAAGTGTGACAAATAAAAACAATATGTTGTTTTAAATTGGGTCATAATATCAAACATGTTTGATAGCTTGCTAAAACAAAATCTGAGTCTGTGACCATCATACACTATGCAATTTTCTATGAAATCGGTCAAAATCTGCAGACTGGCTCTTACTTTCAGCAACTAGCATCAACTTGTCCAGATTGTAAATCGAGGCAAAAATCTGGGCATAAATCGTGTAGTCTGTTCCAGTCTTATGTTGTCCTCTGCTCTGTCTATATATTGCTAATTGAATATTCATGAGATGCACCTCTGTCTGAGCTATTGTAGACAACTGGTTCGATCATTGGTTGATCTAACGCTTTACATTACTCTTCGTTAGTTTACCTGTGCAATTCATCAATTCAGGACAAATAGTCTAATATATGCTTGAGAGATTATGACAACTGATTCAAAATTCTGAATTTGATAACTTATGCAATGAGCTAATGCCTATGTTTTAGGTTAAGACTTTTCAACACAGAACCAGTAGGCTATGATATATTTTGATCAACATGACATAAACAATTGATAATGTAGGAAACAACAGACAATTGTACATAATTAATTGCATAAACATACCAAAGCATTTGGAAATGTATTCAAAGAATGAGAAACTGGTTTTATGATGTGGCTAGATGGTGTGGAGGTTGAACAAGCAGTTTTGAGAATTTCAATTGTGATCTGAGAAATGTGCTAAAGTGACTGAGAAAAACTGTAAAATGTGCTGGGACAGTCAGTTAAGCAACAAGATCACAGCACATCTCAATTCTAACATAGATGTATTCTGTGTCCTGTCCTTCCGAGTTTGTTCTTTCAAGGTAGCTAGCCTGTCAGGTCTCCACAAGAATATACGTCTGTTCTTTTCATTCTTGTAATTGATGTCTGCAACCACAAGATGGCATTGAGGCATCAAATCAAAGTTTCAAATCATTAGCTGTGTCATTAGAGTTTCATATAAGGCTGCACCCCACTATCCCTAAATATGGTGGTCATATTCTTGGCGTTTTTGCTACTCCTAAATGTCTTTTATTTGGATAAAATACTTGTGAACATTCCCAGCACTCTGCATTGTCTGTATGGGTTAGTCATCTTTAAACATACACACAAGAAAATTTAAGATACAATCAGTTTATTAGAAACAATGCACGTGAGCATTATTCAAGTAATATCCTACTTTGATCTCATTGGTACTCATCTGTACTAAATGTACTCATTTCAGTCCTGTCCTCTGAAGTGTTTACTCTTGTCTAAAGCTAGGCATTTGGCATCTCAAATGAACCTATCGTCTTTCTGTGTTTGTGGTTGGTGTGCATGAAAAGGTTGATTGAAGTAAAACAAACAACTTTTCTGGAACCAGTAGCCTTTCTAATAAAGTCAGCAGGACTGCCTAATCAGATCATGCTTCATCCTAATTAACTCATCCTGATTAATAGGTCTAATTACTTGGGTGTGGTTTCCTCTGGGTTCACGACACACTCTTGATATAAACTTGAGAAAAATTTTGGATTAACTTTTTTTAGTTTTGTGAAAGCTTTTCCTTCGGTGTAGAAAACTTCAAGGTAAGCACTATGAAAAAATAAAGCCACATACTGTTTAATTTGGAGTTATAATAATTTAAGGAACCCATTTTAGTTACTACCATCTGTCTTTTTGATGTTTTAATTACCATCTGTCTTTAGTTGCCAAGAAATTTGTCCAAAATGAGAATCTGCTTCAGTTCAGAAACAAATGTTCTTTTTGGTTGACTAATTTGA